CCAAGGAGGTGCTCACCCCTTTTGCTGCAGCCCCCCTCATGCTGTGCGCTGTGGGGCTGCAGGGACCATGGCAGCCCGACAGGGTCTTTCCTGGCTGAGGAGCTCAGGGCCCCAGAATGATCGGGGCCAGTGGACGGGCACAGAAGCCCTGGGTGCTGACAGCACTGCGCTCCCTAACCACGGGCCTCTGCCCACCCTCAGCCCTGCAGGCCTCCAGTGCCCCTTGGGCAGGGGTGGAGACAGCCACCTGTAGGCAGGGTGGGCGTGGCTGTGGTCAGGGGCTGTCATTGGTCTATGTGCAGTGAGCCAGGTGGGGTCCAGGAAGCAGCTGGGGACCCTTTTCGGCAGCCGAGGAGGGAAAGGCAGGTTGAGGAACCTGCCCCGGGCCGCGTCCACTGCCGTCGGCATTGCCAGTCCCCACGCTCCTTGCTGAGCATCAGCTCCTGGAGATTCGCTTACTTCTCAGGACAGCCGTCACTGCCATCCTTGAGCCACGCCCCAGCTGCTGGTCCACTCAGGCAGCCGTAACCAAGTCCCACAAACGAGTCAACTCAAACGACAGACATTTACTGCCTCACGTCTGGAGGCTGGGTGTCGGAGTGGGAGGTGTGGGCAGGGCTGGTTGTCCTGAGGCCTCTCTCCTCAGCTTCTCCCCACGTTTCCACGGGGTCTCTTCTCTGTGTGTGTCTGGGTCCCAGTCTCTTCCAACAGGAACACCTGTCACACTGGATCAGGGCCCACCCTCAGGGCCCCCTTTAACCAAATCACCTCGTTAAGGCCCCATCTCCGAAGGCGGTCCCGTTGCAAGGTCCGGGGCTTAGGGCTTGAACGTCAGAATTCGGTGGGGATGCACTTAGCCCATAACTCCCCATGAGGCCGCCTGCCTTGCCGTTTTGTGCTGGGAAGAGATCAGTTCTTGCTCCCACTGTGCAGGGAAGGAAGCTAGGGCCCCAGGAGGAAATGGAGCTGACTTAAGGTCTAGGACACACCAGAGCCGGGGTTTCAGCCCCAGGGCTCGCTCTTGTCTGGGCCCCGCCGTGACAGAGCAGGGTCCCTGTGTGTGCAGCGGGGCTGGGGGGACAGCAGGGACGCCTGGTGCCCTCAGCAGCCTCCCCTGCCCCCACCCAGGTTCCGAAGGCTGCAAGACTCTGCGGATCCTATACGAGGAAGTCGATGAGTCCGAAGTTGAGATCATTCACGTGCCCTCTCCTGCGCTAGAAGAAAGGAAGACAGACTCCTACCGGTACCCCAGGACAGGTGAGGGCCCAGGACAGGTGTGGGCGGCTGGGCAATGGTCTAGAGCCTCGTAGAACATGGTCGGGCACCAACCAGGATGGGCGCACAGGACCCAAGCAGGGACGGACCCAGAGAAGCAGACTGGGCTCGGGAACAAGAGCAGGGCTGGTGCCATGATCAGTGGTGACCGACATCCTGCCTCATGGCCCAGGAGACAGTAGGAGCCGGCGGTGGGTGGGATGGCTCTCCTGGGGCGTGTCAGACACTCACTGCCTTGTGAGAATACAGACTCGAGTTTGCCCCATTTCTCAAGAGAAGCCGGAAATCCAGACTGACCCAAGAGTCTCCCAATTCTCAAATGTCACTCAAATCATTTAAAAACCCTGAGTGTTGGCCAGATGTAGCATCATCGAGACCTCAAGGAAGCACGTGAGAGACTCGCTCTTGCCGACCACGGGCCACGCGAGGCCGAGCCCTCCAAGCGCTGCTTCAGCCCCGGGTGTGGATGGGGACACCAGGCGTCTCCCTTTCCCTGTTCAAGAGATGAGGGAGCGGAGGCTCAGAGACGTTCCCTGTTGGGGTGTGACAGCCACGGGGGCCACAGCTGAGATTTGTCTTAGAAATACTGAGCCTGGACCGAGTCCCACCTCTGGAAAGTGTGTCTTGGTTGCTCCAGCCCGTAGACCACCTGCCTCTTGACAGCTGAGGACCGGCTGTGTCGCTGGGACACGGGCCACCTTTGTCTGTCCCTGGTGGTTTTATTATGGGTGTGCACTGTTTTTGCAGCCAGCTTTCAAGCTCTCTGGAGGCAGGGAGGCATCTTCCTTGTGTCTGTCTCTCCCCACACACAGATCTGACCTGTGTTCTTAAACAGCAAAGATGTGGCCACATCACTGCTGGGAACAAGGTCCGGGGCCAAAGTCAGAAAGTCCTGCCTAAGGGACTTTGTGCCAGGGCCAGAGAGGGTGACAGACTTACAGAGAGACCTGTGGACACCCAGCGCCACCCCCACCCCCGCCCTGCCCTCAGCCCTCTTGGCAACACCTGCCAGGGCCACCTTGCTTTCGTCTCTGCAGGCAGCAAGAATCCCAAGATTGCCTTGAAACTGGCCGAGTTCCAGACCGACAGTCAGGGCAAGGTAAGAGTGTCCGGGACGCCCAGGAGAAGCTTCTGGACAAGGAAAGGAGGGCAGGCGTCTGTGATGGGGGACAGGTGGACAGCTGGGCAGCGTCAGCAGGCCACCCGCCCTCATGCTGGGGCAGGTACTTCTCTTGGCCAACTGAGCTCAAAGGGGCACTGCCTGGCGGAGCCCCAGCTTCCAGGCCAGGCTCGCTGCCGATCACCCTGAGCCCGGCCTCACCTGCCTCCACATGGCCCCGAGGCACAGGGAGGGGCTGCCCTCGAGTAAGCTGCCCCAGAAGTCCCACAGGGGTTGGACTCCCCAGGAGGTTGGTGGCTTGCAGGCCTTCCAGAACAGAGAGCTCTGGGGGCAGTGGCCTGGGGGACCCTGGCCTCAGGCCAGGCCGCTCCCCCGCCCCCGCGTTGGGCAGCTCCTCACGGATCACTGCCCTGGGCCCATCAGTGTTCTAGATTCTTCTCTCTGTCACCTAGTCAGCACCAAGGACAAGGGTCCTCATCACACCGGCTTGTGTTCCTCCAGACCCACAGCCAAGAGGGCAAAGGAGGCTGTGCGGAGGAGGGCAGTGGGGATGCCCAGCCCCACATGGGGATGAAACACCCCTCACGGCAGAGCTTGGAGCACGTCGAAGAGCCGGGGAAGCCCCTGCGTATTTTTGCCAAACCAGCTTCTTGTGTAACATTTCAGAAAAAAAGCATGAGATAAAGTACATTTACCTTCATGATTTCAGGGGTTGGTTTTTGGTTGTGGCCTGATCGGGCCCTAACCGAACCCTTCTCCACTCTCGACCAGTCAGCATTCTGGCAGATTTGACAGGGATCTGCCATTAAGTGGCCTTGCTGAGCCCCCGCCAGCTGTTGTAAATGGTTCTTCCTGGCCCTGTCAAATGAGCAGGGTCCTGCGGTGGGCATGGGTTTTGCCCACTGAACAGGCAGCTGGGGAACATGGGGCGGTGGCAAGCCTGGGGCTGCGGGGACACACTGAGGCCCTGCCTGCCTTCCTGCTGTCCACCCTCCAGAGGAGATGCCCCGCTGGCCCACTCACCTCCAGGAAGCTGCAGCCTTGAGGCTGTGTCTCACCCAGGGCCACCTGGCTCTCCAGTGACAGCCCAGACCACAACCGTGGTTCCCGCCAGCAGGCTGTCTTAACAAAGTACCCTGGGAGGCTTAAGCCACCAAAGTTTACTGTCTCCCAGTTCTGGAGGCTGAAAGTCTGAAATCAAGGTGTCGACAGGGCTGGTTCCTCCTGAGGCCTTAAGGGAGGACCCTGTTCCAGGCCTCTCCTTGACTTGTAGATGGCCACTTTCTCCTTGTGTCTTTAAAGATGTTGTCTGCCCATATGCGGCCTGTGTCCACATTTCCCCCTTTCCATAAGGACACCGGCCTGTTGGACTGGGGCCCCTGACACTGGTACGACCTCACTGTAACTAATTATGTCTGCCACCACCCAGGTTCCACGTAAGGCCCCATTCTGAGGTACCGGGAGTCAGGACCCCAACCTATCGATTTTGGGGCAACACGGTGGCCCATCCTCCTGGGCACACATAGCCAGGCCAGACCATGACCGGAGTCTGCCCTCCCTTTAGATCGTGTCCACGCAAGAGAAGGAGCTGGTGCAGCCCTTCCGGACGCTCTTCCCGAAGGTGGAGTACATCGCCCGGGCCGGCTGGACCCGGGACGGCAAATAGTGAGTGTCTCCATCACAGAGAGAAGGCGGGTGTCCCTTTGCAGTCACTTGCTAGCCCTTCTGCCCAGATCAGGGGCAAACGGCCCTAAACCAGGGCCCCAAATCTGGCCCGGGGGCCAAATAGGCTGCTGCCAATTGCTATACTGCCCACGAGCCAAGAACGGCCTTATGTTTGTAAGTGATGTGTTGGGGGAGGTATCCAAAGGTGAAGAAGATTTTGTCACATGTGAAACTGATAGGAAATCCACATTTCAGCATCCATAAATAAGCCTCTGGCCCATGGCCACACGCAGTTTATTTTCACATCATCTGTGGCCGCTCGCACGACAGGGGCAAGGTTGAGTTGTGAAAGAAACTGTGTCCCACGGAGCGGCCATCTGGCCCCACTGGCCGCATTCCCGAGAGCAGAGGCCGCCCAAGCTGAGGCTCGGGGCCTTTGGCAGCCCACGGGCTCTGGCCAGATTCTGCGTCCCTGCAGTGCTCCTCAGGTGGGGTCTTAGTTGTTCCGCCCCCACGCTGAGTCAGTGCCCGGCTCACCTCCGCTGGCCACTGAGGCCCCGGCCCTCTCTCGCGTTGCCCTCCCAGCGCCTGGGCCATGTTCCTGGACCGGCCTCAGCAGCGGCTCCAGCTCGTCCTCCTGCCCCCGGCCCTGTTCGTCCCCACCACCGAGAGTGAGGAGCAGCGGGCCGCCTTCGCCAGAGCGGTGCCCCGGGACGTCCAGCCGCACGTTGTCTACGAGGAGGCCACTGACGTGTGGATCAACGTAAGGGCTAGGGTATCCCACGTCCCCACCCCCAGGTCCTCAGTGGGGCAGGGGCTGGCGAGATAGAGAAGCCAGCTTGGGGGTGGGGTCCGTGGGGTTCGCCCTCCACGCCAGGCTGTTGGAGCCTCCCCTTCCTTGAACGGACGCGGCCCGAGTTTCTGAGTCCCCCTCCTCCTCCCGTTGCCTTTTGACAGTCCTCTCTCTCTGCCTGGACAGGTTCACGACATCTTCTATCCCTTCCCCCAAGCAGAGGGAGAGGACGAACTCTGCTTCATCCGTGCCAATGAGTGCAAGACCGGCTTCTGCCACTTGTACAAGGTCACCGCTGTCTTGAAGCCCCATGGCTATGACTGGACCCAGCCCTTCAGCCCCAGGGAAGGTGAGCGAGCCTGGCTAACACCTTGCTCACCAGCCAGCCGCCTGGGGTTCAGCGGCTGGCGGCTCTGCACTGTTTGTTCACCGGCCTCGCCCCAAGCCCGCACGCCCCAGTGGGAGTGGGCGCTGATGAATAAGAGGCGAGCCTTGCCCAGTGCCTTTCACAGCTCTAGTTTATTCAGTCAGCGGTATTTTTTGAGCACCTACTACGTGCCAGGCCCTTTGCACACCGAGGCCTACCGCCTATTTTTGTAAATGAGTTTTTATTGGCACACAGTCATGCCCATGCATTTGCGTATTGTCTGTGGCCGTGTTCACGCCTCGACAGCAGAGTTGAGTGGTCATGACAGGAGCTGTGTCTCCCGGAGCTATGTCTCCCAGATCTGGGAGTATCTGTTGTCTGGCTCTTTGTAGGGAAAGCTGGCCGGCCCTAGGTGAAGGGGCTGCCACTGTAGAAAGAGGAAAATGAAAATCTCTGCTCTAGTGGGGGACGCAGGCAGTCATCCAAAAACAGTGAAAGGTGCTGTTTTGGACGTGACAAGCGTGGCGCAAGGGAAAATAGATAAGAGGTGGGGAGCAGGGGGCCTTCCTTCTGGAACAGGAGGCCAGGACCACGTCCCTGGATAATGTGCCATGAAGCAGAGACCTGGGGGAGGGGGTGGAGGCAGCCACACAGAGCGCTCTAGACAGAGGGCACAGCACATGCCAAGGCCCTGCGGCAGGACTGGGCTCGGCGTGTTGGAGGGACAGTGAGGGGGCCCGTGTGTCTGGAGCAGACTGAGCGAGGGGGAGAGAGGGAGGAGTTGAGGGCAGGAGGGGACGGCCAGGTGGTTCTGGGCCTTGTGGGCCACAGGGAGGACTTGGGCTTTTAAAAACATTGACCTTACATTGGTTTAAAATGAGTCCTGAGGGGTGTGGAGAGGTGACGAGGCTTGGGGTCCAGCAGTAGGGCTGAGCTGACCCAGGTGGATGGGATTCTGGATTTACTTTGAATGCAGTCTGCTGGTGGATTGAGCTGGGGTCGGAGACAGAGGGAAGGCGTGGACGTCTAGAAGGTTTTGGAGGTCCAGCCTGAGATGGAAAGACTCTGAAATGGTTTAGGAGAGAACCCTTGAGTTGGCTTTTGGACGTGTTCAGGTTGAAGCGCCCGATAGGGGGAAATGGTCCGTGCAGGTCCGGGAAGCAGGGTGGATCCGTGGCGGGAGCATGGGCTTCCTCACACACCAGTGGCATCTCAGCCTCAGGACAGGCTGGTCGGGAAGGGTGTGGTCTGAGGGCTAAGCCAGGGCTCTTGGGCTTGGAGCAGGGTCTCCTCACTGGCGCTGTTGACATCAGGGCCGGGTCACTGGGCACTGAGGGGTGTGGAGCAGCCTCCCTGCCCCTACCGGCTTGATGCCCGGAGCTTGCCAGTCGTGACAACCGCAGACAGTAGTTTGCTTTAGACTGGAGAGGGTAGAAAAAAATTTTTAGCCACTGCTCGTAAACTGTCTCAGTCATTTTTAATACGTAAACGTTTTGTATTACCTGGTAAAAATTCAAAAGCAAGATCTGCCCCTCTACTGTAACTCAGCTGAGCCTTTCCTTAGCCCCCACGTTTTAGCCAGGATCTGGTTCCCATATCCCAGCGTGTCCTAAGTGGTCACAGCTCCAAGGCCTGGAAGGTAACAGTTTGGCCTGTGCAGGGTTCTAAGATTGGGTGCTTCTGATAAAAATGCAGATCCCTGGTTTTTCTGGGGAAATGCCAGGCCTGCCATCCACGGAGCAGGAACCTCGCTCCCTGGGCCACAGTGTGGCGGGTCCCCACCCTGTACTGTGCCTGGGACCCAGTCTGTCCCCTCTCCCATCTGCCACCTGGCACAGGCAGCCTGGGCTCCGTGGTGAGTTGATCTCGTGGAATTTGGTCTCCGTGCTTTGAGTCCCCATCACAGCTTCCCAGGCCCCCTTCACCTCTTTTCCTTTCTTCCAGATGAATTTAAATGCCCCATCAAGGAGGAGATCGCACTGACCAGTGGTGAATGGGAGGTTTTGGCGAGGCACGGCTCCAAGGTACCAGAGCCTCCGTGAACGCTTGTACACGCTCATGTGCACAGACCAATGCACACGCGCTCCTGCCCTCTCCAGACCCCACATGCCTGTGGCTTCTCAGCCCCTCTCGGCGCCCCCAGCACCCCCCTCCTGCTCTGTCGCCATCAACGAGCAGCATGCAGAGGGCCACAGAGGCTGTCCTTCCGACCCGCTAGAGACCCTGGGTCTGAGCACTGGAGGTTGGATCTCATTGGAGGGTGGAGGGGGCACCCATTCTCAGTGCTGCCTGCAGCGTTCACTTAGCTTCCTTCCGTTCCGTGAAACTGCCTGTTCCCAGGACAGCACTTTGTGGGACACTGGTGGTGCCCACCATGGAGCTGACCCTTAGCTTCCAACCAGGGCCCAGCCCCATGCCTGTCCTGGGAGGTTCAGGAACAAAAGATGTGGCTGTAGGGCTGAGAGGCGTGCCTTCCACTCCCCAGTGCAGGTGCTCCATCACAGAAACACGGCGAGGCTTTGCCTCTGACCAGTCTCTCTCCAGGGTCCAGGTCTACAAAATTCCAGGTTTTATAGAGACTCTTTAATCAGACAGCCTGGCTCCCTACCTCACCCCAGCATAAAGGCCTCCTGGACCAGAGACTTAGACATAAAGAACTAAACCATCCAAGTGACCAGGAGGAGATGTAGGTCAGCCCCGTTATAGTCCAGAAGTGGGGGCCCGTGCTGCCGGTGCTGCTGAGAGCAGGGGCCCGGGCATCCTGGGCCAGCGTGGCCAGGCAGGATGGCTTGGCCTTTCCGGGGCACAGAGGTGGCATCTATTACAGAGTCACCCCACGTCTCATCTGAGCTGGAAGCCCCAGTTCTAGGGGTGGGCCTCACGAGGCCACCGCCGGGCACACTCGAGGCGTTCTCACACGAGTGTGCATCACAGTGCTGCCCCCGTGGCGGGAGATGGCGAGCGAACAAGGGGGCCAGACGTGGCCCCGCTGGGGCCAGGGGCTGCAGGTAACCATGCCTGTCCCTCCTCAGTCCCTCTGTGTGGTAGAATCTTGCTGGAGGCCCCGTTGTGCTCAGAGCTCGGCCCTGCCCCTCGCTAGCTGGGCACTAAGACTCAGCCTCCTCACCTGTGGAACGGGAGCGTCAGGTAGCTCCGGTCCGCTCACCTCCACAGCACCTCCTCCTCGGCGCTGTGGAGTCTCGGGGCCAGGTAGGGCACCATGGGTGTGCAGTAGCCTCCCTGCCCCACCCCAGGTGTGACAGCCACTGATGTGCCCAGAGGCTGCCAGATGTCCTCCAGGGGCCAGGATGGCCCCAGGTCAGGACCCTCCTTTAACTTGAAGCCCACAGCATAGCATCTGGCAGACACAGGACAGTATTAAAATCTTTATCATGAAAGTTTTACCCTTTGCACGCCTTACCTTTTGACTCAGAAATTTTAAAAAAAGAGTAGCATTTTAAGAATTCAGAAGGGAAAGAGTGCTGTCTGCCATCCCTGCCCTCAGCCTCGGGCTGTATCTGGGCTGTGCCGGCTGAGTGAGCGACCTGCCGATCCCAGGCCTCTGTGGATCCTCGGCCTGGAGCACCTCCGTCCCGTCCCCGCATCTTCTCACAGGGTCCTTATGACAAAACCAGCCCGTAACTACCTATGGTTTGGGGGTTTTCCAATGACATTCTTTATTTCTAGAAAACCTGCATTTATTTTAAAAGAACAGTGACAACGAACAGATCAGTGTTTGCTGTAAAAACTGAACTGTTCTGAATAATCCCCTTACGTCCTCACCCAGACCCCTGTCACCTCCCCTCCTCAGAGGCGACCGCGGCAGGAAGTCGCTGCACACCCTTCCCGTCTGCACACGTCTCCAGAGGAAACTTGTTATCTGAGAGGATTCTGTAGGGTTTTCTAGACAACACGGTTTTATGTGGCCACAGAGAATTGTGCCGTAATTACGGTTCCAGACTGTCTTTTGGACATTCAGGGTGTCACCTCTCTTTAGTCTTCGGAGTACTTTGAGCATCTTTATGTCTCCATTTTGAATTTACCTCTGGGGTGAAGACCCCAGGAGCAATTCCCGGGGGCCTAATTGCTGATTCAGGGGATGTGCCTTTTTGGTGTTTTGCCTCCACACTGCATGGGCAGCCCCAGAAAGGCAGTGCCTGTTCCTGTCCCCAGAGCAAGGTTCTTTCCTGCTTCTCATGCTAGGGTCTGATGGGCTGTCCCCCAGGAAATGGGTGGGGCAGGGAGTTGCCACTTCTTAACCCCCAACACCTGGGTCAGAGGAGTGGGTTGTCCCCACTGGGGACCAGGGCCGGTGGTCCAGGATAGCCCCTCCCTCAGCCTCTGTCCCAGCACTGCGCCCTCAGCCCCCACCTGCAGCTCTGGGCACTCCCAGAAGGAGCTGTCCGGGCTTGGAGTTCTGATTCCAAGGGGACACGTGGTTAACTCAGCCATATCGGAGTCTGCTCCTGCCCCATGGGGCCCGAGAAATCTCCCAGACAGTTCTCCAGCTGGCAGGCTGAAACCAGTGTGAGGAGAATGGGCCCCCTGTCTACTGAATGCTGGGCCCTCCCTGGGGCTGGGGAGGGAGGCCCAGGAAGCCGTGTCACCAGGAGCCCCTGTGCCCCCACAGATCTGGGTCAATGAGGAGACGAAGCTGGTGTACTTCCAAGGCACGAAGGACGACGCCCCTGGAGCACCACCTCTATGTGGTCAGCTACGAGACGGCCGGCGAGATCGTGCGCCTCACCACGCCCGGCTTCTCCCACAGCTGCTCCATGAGCCAGGTGGGCACTTCCGCGACGCGCTCTCCCTTGGAACGTTCCCAGAACATCAGACAGCATGCTAGAACATGAACACAGGGCCTCCCCCATCCTGGGCAAGCATCTGGTGGCAGTTTGCTGACCGAAGAACCAACAAGATGGGCAGGCTCTAGCATCAGGCAGGTCTGGGTTTGACCAGTCACCAGCCTGGGGGCCCTGTCCAGGGGACAGGTTCCTCTTACCTCAGTTTGCTTATCTGCAAAATGGAGGGGGGGGCACAGCAGCCACCCACCATGGGCTGAGTTCTGAGGGGCAGGCGAGGGGCCACACCACACAGGGTAAAGATGATAAGTGGTGGGAGGTTGGCGGGTAAGGGGCAAAGAAGCCAAAGCCAGGGGGCTTGTGGGGGGCACACCGCAGTCTCAGCGCCCTGTCCCGCCCACAGAACTTCGACATGTTTGTCAGCCACTACAGCAGCGTGGGCACGCCACCCTGCGTGCACGTCTACAAGCTGAGCGGGCCCGACGACGACCCTCTACACAAGCAGCCGCGGTTCTGGGCCAGCATGATGGAGGCGGCCAGTGAGTAGCCCCAGACCCTGGGCCCTCGACCAAGTCCTTGCCTGCGCGGCCCCGGTAGCTACACAGGGAGCCGGGGCTATGGGGCGAGCTCCAGGCAGTAAGTGGCCGGGAGCCCCGGGAGCTGGTCCGGTGTGACCATGGCCCCGAGTCCTGTGGGCCCCGCCCCTTGAGACCGTCTCTCGTTTCTGTGCCGCTGTTAAGGACTGAGCACGTACAAAGTGCAGGAGGCAACTGTGCCAGACAGACGGGGTCCCTACACGGGCCATCCTCATCCTTGGGGCAGCTGTCTCCAAGGGTGCCTGTGCAGAGCAGACATTCCAAAGCCTTTGTTGGTGGAAGGAGCCTGGGGTCAGTCGAGACGGGCCTTGGGAAGCGAGAGGCAGCTTGTCAGTTTGCCCAGGACTCTGCTCGGGCGTCCCCAGGCTCCGATTCCGGCTGCAGAACCGAAGGCAATTCAGTTCATCTCCCTTAAGTGTTCCCTTATCTACGGACCAGTCCAACGGCAGTCCACAGGCTGTAAGCCAGATGCCCCGCAGAGTGCCCAGCTCGTGGGAGTCACTAAAAAGGATGCCCTTCCCTGACCCCAGCCCTGCCACTTGTGCATTTCCAGAACATTGTAGGAAACAGGAATCCCTGGAGTTTGCGGGGAGTTTCATGGGCTGGTAAGCATTTTGTTAGATCGTTGCCCTCTGGAACCTAAGTTGATGAGCAGCCTCCTCCATGTAACAGCTCAGCCTGCACCTCTCCCCGCGTCGCCGCGGGCGATGGGGCAGGAACTCTGGCCCTGGCTTCACAGATGAGAAAACCGAGGGAAGGCGGGGTCTTGCCAAGGCACCCAGCACAGCAAAGGGGACGGTGGGAGCCCGAGGGCCCAGCCCTGGGCGTGAGGCAGGTGCACCACTTCTCCGAAACGCCAGTCTTGCCGGGCTTGCGGACCACCTCTGTGAGAAGCTGGCAGACTGGCCCCCCGAGCCACACAGGCCATGAGGGCCACGACCAGGCGTTTAGGCATCATTATCTGGCTGTTTCGGGGCTGCAGCAGCGAAGGGGAGCACACTCAGTCCCCTATACCCACGGGCTTCCATCCGTGGATTCAGCTGCCCACAGATGGAAAATAAGTTCCAAAGTTCCAAAAAGCAGAACTTGAATTGTTGTTCACCGCAGCTGCCTAGCTAGCACTTGTGCTGTGTTTACAGCTCCTTACATAGCATTTCCATTTATCAGGTATCGTAAGGGACCTAGAGATGCCTTAAAGCATGAGGAAGGATGTGTGTAGGTCATACGCAGATGCTATGCTGTTTAACACAAGGGGCTGGAGTATCACGGATTTGGGTAGCTGAGGGGCGCCCTGGAACCAGTCCTCCAAGGATACCGAGGGACAACTGTGTTTACAACCCAGAGACACAGAATGTCTCTTCTGCACATAAACCCGAAAATATTTACTACCTGACCTTTTACAGACCCCTGACCTACATCGCTATTTACTTGTTTTCCTTTTAAATCGACACCCTGTTTACCTAAATAAGCTTATCTTAAATAGAGAGTTCTCCTCACCATTGTGATTGGAAAACCAGTGTTGCTTTGCAAAAATAAAGGCAACCATAAAAATCAGAGAGAAGGCCCCAGTGAAACTGGTCCTTCCTCAAATCCCAGAGTTGTTGTCACCTCCGTTGGAGGTCAGCAGGCGCCAGGGAGCCCTGGAGATGGTCCTGGCCAGACCACAGCCTGGCCCGAGCAGGCTCGTAGGGTGCAGGCTCGTTTCCGGCCCTCAGGTTCTGATTTTAATCATTGGGAAGCACAGGACGGGGCACTTCATGTCCACCCTCTGAGGCTAGGGGAGCGTGGGTGTCAACCAGACGTGGGCCCCGCCTGGAACTGGGATTCCTGGGCCAGCCTCGGCCCTCTCTGGCCCTTGCAGCCACAGCACCTCTGTCTCCACAGGCTGCCCTCCGGATTATGTGCCCCCGGAAATCTTCCACTTCCACACACGGGCGGACGTGCGGCTCTACGGCATGATCTACAAGCCACACGCCGTGCAGCCGGGGAAGAAGCACCCCACTGTCCTGTTTGTGTACGGAGGCCCGCAGGTGGGCGCGGCCCTGCTCCCCACACCCTCCCCCATCCCCAGCCAGGACTCCGGGGGCCCCTCGCTCTCCTGTCTCTGGGTCTCCGCACACCCCACCCTCCTGCACAGCCGTCTCCTCCCTCTTCACCTGCCAATACTCCCTTGTCCCTCTGGGGAGCCCCTCTAAACCCCAGGTATGTGGCGGGGCCACCTGCCCAGGGCAGTGACCCCTCTCATCAAGCTGCTGACAGAAGTGGCCAAAGGCCCTGAGGCCAGTTCTCTGAGAAAGGGACGGGGCGAGGCAGGCAGATTGGCACGCAGGTCCATCTAAGACAGTGGTTCTCAGCTGGGGGTAGTCTGTCCCTAGGTGACACTTGGTGATGTCTGGGGACATTCCTAGTTGTCACAGCTGGGGTGGGGGACACTCCTGGCATGGAGTGGGTAGAAGCAACATCCAGGGATGTTGTCAACGCCCTACAGTGACCGGGATGTCCCTCCCCCACCCCCAGAAGATGATAACAGTGCCTGAACATTAACAGTGCCCAAGTCAGGAGTTAGTATAAATCAAGTCATTCAGGGCACAACTGCCCAACAGTGACAGCCTGGCGCCCTCCATTGTCAGTTTTCTTGTCTGTTTTTAGAGAGAACTGAAGGGCATAAAAGAGGCAGAATATGGCTGAAAAACTAAGGGAGCAATTTCAGGGAGGGCCTGGGGCAGAGGCGCCGTCTGAGAAGGGAACCTAACTGGGCCTTCCTCTCTGTAGCACGTCCCAAGCACAAGGTCTGATGTACGGTGGGCCCCCGCCTGACCTTCCACTCCCCCCACGTCCAGAGTCCTTCCAGGCCTTCCGTCCACAGCCTCCACGATAAAGTACAGGCCCCTTATTTAGGCTAGAAGACTCCCAACCCCTGCCCTGCTGGCATCTAGCCCATCCATCCCGTCCAGCCCGGCGTCTGACACTGGACCCCTCGCCACTCATCTCTCCTCGCCTCTGCCCGCAGGTGCAGCTGGTGAATAACTCCTTCAAAGGAATCAAGTATTTGCGGCTCAACACTCTGGCGTCTCTGGGCTACGCCGTGGTCGTGATCGATGGCAGGGGCTCATGTCAGCGAGGGCTTCGGTTTGAAGGGGCCCTGAAAAACCAAATGGTAATGGCTCTTCCCAGCCCTTTCCCGGGTGGTGAAGGGAGATCTGGGGTTTGGGGGCGTTCCAAAGCACCTTCCTCAAGGACGGCCCTGGCCAGGATGTCAGTCATAAGTGGGGCAGTTTGGAACTAGAGGGGACATCCCCACTTTGCTGCTCAGCTCTGAGCTGTGCCCTGTGGGGAGATAGGTATATACTCATCCCATCTGGTGCCTGAGACCCAGATGCAGCCAGACACATCAGTACAGGCCCAGTCCACAGGAAGTCCCAAGGGCTGGGCCAGACAGGCCCTGGTGACTGGAAGTGGTGCCAGTGGTGACAGTAGTGAGGGTGGTGGTGGTGGTGGTGGTGATGAGGGGGGTGACGCCAGCTATTCATCCAGCCTTAGCATCTGCCAGGCCTCTGAGTACAGGACACTCACCATCTCCTTTCATCCTCACACCCACTGTAGAACTGATCCTGTTCGTGTTAACATCCTCATTTTGGGGATGAGGAAATTGAGGCCCAGAGAGGGGATGTGACTTTCTCAGAGTCAGCCAGGAGGTGGCAGGGCAGGGCGGGTGCTGGGCCGGTCTGCCCACCATCCCAGAATGCAGGTTTGAGTAGGGACTGGAGAGAGAAGTAGCTTCCAGAGAGCTGCTGCTGATCCAAGAGGGAGAAGGCTCCCTGCAAGGGAAAAGGTGGGACGGCAGGGCGCGTGCCTGCGAGGAGGCCACTGAGAGGTGCCTGGCCTTGTCTCCCAGGGCCAGGTGGAGATCGAGGACCAGGTGGAGGGCTTACAGTTCGTGGCTGAGAAGTATGGCTTCATTGACCTGAGCCGGGTCGCCATCCACGGCTGGTCCTACGGAGGCTTCCTCTCGCTCATGGGGCTGATCCACAAGCCCCAGGTGTTCAAGGTGGGTCCCCACCCTGCCTCCTCCCCCCTGTTGGCCAGCACCTGCCCGTGCCCCTTGGAGCCCGCCCCCCCGGGGGAGGCATCTTGGCAGGGGCCTTGCCACGTGGCTGTTTCTCCCTGCAGCAGCCCCATGGGGCCGAGCCCCCCTCCTCATTGCCCGCCACTGCTGACCCCAGGATGGCATCCGGCTGCACAAAACCCCGCCAGCAGCTCTCTGTGGGAGGCTGAGCCCGGGACCCCGGCCTCGGATGGGCAGAGGTGGGGCATGGTGTGAAGAGCGTCGGGGGAGGGCCCCCAGGCCGGCGGCACTGTCAGGGCACTGCGGGGCGGCGATGAGGAGGAGGAGGCAGGAAGGCAGTGGGCCCAGGGAGGGGCCGGGCCCAGCCTGAGCGTGCTTGTTCGGCTCACCCGCCCTCCTGAGACAATGCACGGTCCGCGGGGGAGACACATCTGAGGGCCCCTCCCCTGCCAGCCCCGTGTGCATGCCCGCTCCTCACGTCCAGGGGGCCCCGGGACAGCCAGCCACGCGCAGGCTCCCAGGACCTGACCGCCGTGTGTGTTTCTCCCTCTCTCTCCTCTCTCTCCCCACTTCATTCACTGTGGCCCTCAGGTGGCCATCGCAGGTGCCCCGGTCACAGTCTGGATGGCCTACGACACGGGGTACACGGAACGCTACATGGATGTCCCAGAGAACAACCAGCTCGGCTACGAGGCGGGCTCCGTGGCCCTGCACGTGGAGAAGCTGCCCAACGAGTAAGGCCCGCACCCGCCCCTCCTTCCAGGTGGCCAGGGCCAGCCTGCCGAAAAGCTGGGCCCTGCTGCGCCCCTGTGGCCCCCGGCGGGCGTGGCTTCTGCACCCCCTCTCTGCCTGCGCCTGGCGTCCCCTCCTGCAGCCCTCCCTCTTCACCACCCCTCACAGAAAGCAGGCGCCCAGTTCTCTTGGAGGGAGGAGGGAAGGAAGCCCCCAGCCCTGCCCCCAGAAAGATGGAAGGAAAGACGTAGAGCTGCATCACTTTGCACACGTGGGCTTCCCTCACCCCACCCGTGGGCCCCTTGAGTCGGTCTTGAACCTGAATGGCCGCTGTCTTGTGGGTTTGGACACGGTGGTTTGGAGCACAGGTCCACCGTGGTCGTAAATTCTAGGCGTGCTGGACTAGCTCTGATGTCCTATGATCATGATTCCCTGATCAAAAGAACATGGCATGGCCACTTTTCTGGTATGGCTCTGTCTGGTGAACATCGCCCAGGGTCCTACCTTTAGTGCCAGGGCTCTTGTCACAGGCTGACCTTGCCTGGGTCCCTCTCCCCATGAGGCTGCTCTCTGGTCTGAGCGTGGCCTGGGCTCCCGGGGCTGCCACCTTGCAGCCCGGCTCGGAACCCACTGCCCCCGGCCTGTGCTGTCCACTGTGGGAGCCGACAGCCACCTGCGGCTGCTTCCGCTGACGTTTACATTCATTCCAGTTCACTAGAACAATAAAGTCATCCAGACGGACGGGGCTGGTGGGCCAGGGGCTAGGAGTGACTGCTCGAGGGCACGGGGGTTTGCCTCTGAGTGATGGAAATGTTCTGGACCTGGACAGGGGTGATGGTTGCATAACGTGGTGAATGCACCAAATGCACCTAAATTGTCCCCTTCAAGATGAGTTAATTTTAGGTTATGGGAATGTCACCTCAATAAGTTATTTTTATAAATCAAAATTTAAAAAAATAAGTTCTGGACCACTTCTGACACACGTCAAGCACTTAGTAGCCACATGGTGGTGATGGCGGCAACCTTGTTGGGCAAGGCAGTTCTAGAACTTTCCACTTCTATAGAGTGCGTGGGCGGCACTGCTCCACAAGCTGCCCTATGGCTCAGGGCACTGGGGCACGGCCGCGGGCGCACACCCCTCCCCTCCTCCCCGGGAAGGAGGCCGGGCGTCTCCGAGGCCCCTGGCACACCCTGTCCCTCAGTCCTGCCACCTTAGCTTGCTGGCTGCCGCTTTCACCCTAGCTGACCTCGTGGGGGCGGGACTCTGGGCCCAGAGCCCTGGCTGAGCGTGGGCTGTGATGCCACGAGTGCCACCGCCTGGGGGCCAGAGAAGAGGGTCCTGCCCCAGACCCTCACCCCACGCTTGTCTTCCAGGCCCAACCGCCTGCTCATCCTGCACGGCTTCCTGGATGAGAACGTGCACTTTTTCCACACAAACTTCCTCGTCTCCCAGCTAATCCGAGCAGGAAAGCCTTACCAGCTCCAGGTGAGTGGCTCCTGGACGCTTCCGGGTCCCCCCAGGAGCCCGCAGAGTGGGGGCACCTGTGGCCCCGCCCCCATGCAGCTGTCCGGCTCCACACTTACCTGGGTTCGCAGGGTCCCCAAGGTCTTTCATTCTCCATTCAGCGGTCACGCCCTGATCGCTCCTGGTCGGTGCTGCCCTCTGCTGGCCACATTGGGGAACTGGGCCTGGCTGGTGAGGGAGACCGACTGTACCAAAATTACTGCTCATGCACACGTTTTATTTTAAGCCAAGAACCTTGCTCTTAAGAAAATGTACAGAACGCTGAAAGCAGCAGGGCTTGGGGTTTACCTTGACTGGGGGGTCAGAGAAGAATTCCCTGAGGAGGTGACATTTAAGGGTGCTGAAGACTGAGTGGGGAGTCAGCTAGACTTGAGGGGCGGCTGTGGAGGACACCAGGCACAGGAAGTTAGGAGCGAGCAACTCAGGGACAGGAGAACAGGGAGCAAGCAGAAGAGCTGGGGACCAGCGCAGGGTGACCTGCAAGGCAAGCCTACGGTGAGGGGCGGGGCTTCAGCGGTAAGTGGCAGGGTCTCGGGCAAGGTTGGGGCCTCATGAGAGGGTGGGGCTTTAGTGGTAAGGGGTGGGACCTCAGGAGAGCTGGGCTTCAGCAGTAAGGTGTGGGCTGCAGTGGGGTGGGGCCTCAGCTGTATTTTGTTCTAAAGGTGAGGTGCCCGGCCTGTGAGCAGGGCTGTGACCAGCAGCCCTGTAGGCAGGGGCCCAGGGGGGCCAGTGGGACATGAGCCACAGTCAGTTGTCCTGGTAGGAAAGGGATTGGCAGTAGGGAGCGAGAGGCCCAGTGGAAATGTGCTGGAGGTGAGAGGGACAGATTTTATTACGTGCTCCCACCACTAATAAAATAGTACTTCCTGGACACCTCCACGTGCTCTGCACTGTCAGGGGGGTGCCACGTTGCCATTCAACAAGTGGGGAAACAGGGTCACAGGGCAGGAGGGACAGATCTCAAGGACCTGGACTGTGGCTGGGCACGTGCTTGCCAAACAGGGCAGGAGGGAGGCAGAGCGCCCCGTGGGGGTGAAGAGCTGTTGGGCGCCCCTTGGCAGCCCCGCCCCAACTCGGGCTCCTCAAAACAGGCCACAGGCAGCTGCAGATCAGGGCAAAGAAGTCAGGCAGGGCCAGGATTGAACCTCCAGTGTCCCTTCTGAGCCTGAAATCCTGAACCTTACAGCTGAAATAGCTGCTCCCTGCCATCCCTGTGTGGCCATAGGTGGCAGGTCCGTTAACCTTGGGCCTCGCCGCCTCATCTGTGAAATGGGTTCGATAACCTTGGCCTCCCAGAGGCTGTGAGGGGCAAATAAGTTCTCATAGGAAAAGCATTTAGCACACGGGGTGGCTCTGAGGCTCGTGGGGCTGCCTCCCCCGGGGCAGCTGAAGGTGAGACAAGACACTCCTATGGAGGTGGGAGTGAGGAGATGGAGTGCACCCACCTTCTGCCTCCCTGAAACAGTCAGACTGGAGGCTGACACCCCAGGTTGCTCATGCATCACTTTGTCATCACATACCAGGCCCTGGGCTGGGGTCCGGGAGCACAGTGAGGAGCCAGACAGACCCTCTCCCTGCCCTCACTGCCCTGGAGGAGGAAGAAGTAACCAGGCAGCAAGGATCCGGGGTGGCATGAGGGGGTGGGGGCAGCAGGGTCTGTCCCAGGCAGTGCCAGTGCCCCAGGCCTGGAAGGAGTGGGGCCTGTGAGGTTGTAGGGGCAACACAACCCCGGAGTCCAGGCTTTGGGTACAGTATGATCAGGATGGATTCATCAAGGCAAGGGGGAAGGAGGGGAGACCTCTGGGCGGTTTGATGCATTTCTAGGTAATGCACTTCTAGGACCTGCAGCAGGTTCCACCCCGGTCCCATGAGCCCTCAGGGCTCACCCGAGAGCTGTGGGGCTGCCAGAGCCCTTGCTTCATGGTCAGGGCCAAGACCTGCTCCCCTGTCACCATCCAGCCAAAGGCCTGGACATCAGCTCAGCCAGGTCTCGGGGTCTGGGTGACTCCTTGGGTATGGCCCTTGGCTCCAGCATGCTGCTGCCCCTCTCAGGGGATGATACCCCCCAAAGTGGTGGAAGGACCCAGGACACACTTGGCAAAGCCTGGGGGAGGCCGTCCTGCGGCAAGCATGTACTGTACCCAGTGGGTCCTGTTGGTAGAGTGAAAGTGGCTCAGGTGGAAGGCACCAAATGTTTCTGAGATTCGAAGCCCCAGCCCCTCTGTGGAGATGGGTTCCTTGCATGGCGCTGGGTTTGGGGGATGCAGCAGAGTGGCACGTGCTCTACCTTTTAGAGACCTTAGCTTGCCATAGCCTCACAAAGACCTCAAGAGGTCTGCAGTCTTCACCCAGTTTTCAAGGGTCAGGGAGGCTGTTATTTGCCCTGAATTACACATTAAGTTGGCCATGGAGGGGGGATTCGAACCCAGGTCCATCAGCCCCAGGACACGACCTCTTTCCTCTCTGCAACGCCCAAGGGTGGTGGGGACTGAGACAGGGCCCCAAGGGCAGGTGCCCTGAGCTAGAAAGAGAAAGGGCTTAGAGTGGAGGAGCAGATGAGGGTCCCTCGGTGCCACCAGCATTGCTTTCTCTGTCCACCCAGATCTACCCCAACGAGAGACACAGTATCCGCTGCCCGGAGTCCGGCGAGCACTATGAAGTCACACTGCTGCACTTTCTACAAGAATACCTCTGAGCCCCTGCGGGCTGGCACTTT